CTTCACCCCTTTCGAATTCATCCCATTTTATTTTCATCATTTTTCCTCAGGCATTTGTTTTCAAATGCATTTAACTTTCGTTCCATGTCTTTAGTGATTCTCAAACGTTCACGTGCATATGTTAAAACTGAAATAACATTAGAACTGAAAATATGTAACTTAGTTTATATATATATGTATATATATATATATATATATATATATATATATATATATATATATAGAGAGAGAGAGAGAGAGAGAGAGAGAGAGAGAGAGAGGGGGGGGCGAGGTTTGTGGGAGTGACAACATGGTGACGAAACGACGAAACTAGGAATATTCTAGAAATATCTGTAAGACTGGACTATTTCTCTGCAATTAAACAAGTCTTGAAGTTTGTACAGATTGACATTATACATCAAGAATAGGATAGAAGATGTATATTTTTCAACGCGTTGAATCGTAGGCATATGGTGCTTTTCCTATCTTTATATAGACCAACCCGTGCTCGGCGGCGGATGATGTCGTCAATATCGCACTGGCTGTTTTCCTTAAACTATTCCTGGTGCCCAGTTTATTTTGGATATACCCTGGATTGGTCAGTTTTGAAGGAACATTCCAGAAACATGATATGAACAAGTAAAAAAAAAATGCATCCCAATTAAGACAATACAACTTTGAAAAGTATGTAACTGCAGCTCTATAATAAAACGGACGTCTTGAGGTTCTTTGGGGTCAGTTGAAGAGTACAACGGTGTGATGACCCTGCTTTGTATGGTCTCCACGCTTAAAACGAGTTAAGCGGAAAATTCCATGCGACGAGCGACCGCAAGAGATTCTTGGGGCTGGACGGGTAGATGAGGGAGAGTCCGAGTTGGACTTGTGGTCAGTCGCTTACCAGAAGTTGAGGAAAACAGTTGTGGTATTAAAAGATGTAGTTTAAATGTCTTGTGAATTATTCGTGGATGTCTGAATAATTGTTGCAGCATTGTGGAAGAATGTGACAGAATAAACTGACAGGATGTATAACGGAACTGAAAGCCGTTTGTGTTATCAATCCTAGACGTTAGAGCAGTATAAGTAGCTATGTTACAGTAATCATAAAAGGCCGAATCATGGCAGAAAGCAGATTCGTTGCAAACGAAACAGACAGAGCGTACTCAACTGGAATGACTTATTCAGTGGGTAGTGGGCACTGCATCTGGACGATTCCCAGCATGTATGGGGAAAAATGACAGGGCGACTTTTAATCAAGCTGCACCTGGTACCATCAGAATGGAAGCTCATAGTTGAATGTTGGAAAGAGAACGGAGTACATTTTGGCTGCCCTGACGTCAGTTCTTCATTCATACATTTGTTCGTAGATTCATTAATCTTTTAATTCATCCATTCATGAAATATCTAACATTCTAAATACAAATATATGATTTCTGATCATTTTTTCCCTTCAGCGGGCAACAATCCTGCAACACGTCGCCTTCATCGTCATCAGAATGGTAACGGCAGTGCACAAGAGTTCGTCATTGTCAATTCTCTACTTAATGAAATACGTGGCATTGTCGAAGCTGAATCAAACAGCAATGACAGCGAAATGAACGACCAGATACTTCCAGATCATGAAGATTATCACAACCAACAAGAAAAAGAACCAGAAGTAATATATCATCTCCACAGCAACGATTCACAGAAGCTGTGCCCGCTCTATCCACTAGATTCTTTGCTTGGGCGTCTCGCCGGGTTAAAGAGGAGCATTGCCCTGAAGGAACTCACCAAAACACATCCTCATGTTGAGAAGGGAGGCAAAGTTCGACCTAAACACTGCAAAGCCTCTGAAAAGGTTGCAATAATTATACCATTCAGGAACCGTCACTCTCATCTGTACATTCTCCTCAACAACCTGATACCATTGCTACAGAGACAGTTAATTGACGCAAGGATTTTCGTTGTCGAACAAGCTATGCCAACGTTATTTAATAGGGCATCTCTGTTTAACGTTGGCTTTCTGGAATCTCAGAAATTCGATAAGTACAACTGCTTCATCTTCCATGATGTTGATCTGATACCGATAGATGACAGAAACTTGTATCGATGTGATGAGCAGCCGGTTCATTTTTCTGCGTCCATGGACAAGTATGGCTACGAACTTCCGTATAAAAAATATTTCGGTGGAGTGGTCGGGTTCACTCGAAATCAATATCTGAAGATAAATGGAAATTCAAACCTTTATTTCGGCTGGGGTGGCGAAGATGATGATCTTTTCGAGAGAATTGACAATAAAAATTATGAGATAGCTCGACCATACAAAGATATAGGTAGATACGATATGGTTCGACACACCCATGACTCGGGTAACTGGGACAACTGTGACCGGCGGGTGTTGCTCAAGTCAGCCCGAGATCGGCAGGATGTTGAGGGACTGAATACAGTCAAGTATAAATCGAAATATGTGAAAGTCATGTCTCACATGACTTGGATTAATGTTGAGATTAATTTGAAAGAGGTTTTAGATACTGCTCCCAAGGTGCTCCGGGAAGAGCTAAAGACAATACACAACAGAGCGCAGAAGATCAAGTGCAATTTTACAAGAAACTCTCCTATTAGAGATTAAAGTTAAGATCGAGAGAATCGGCTTCTTTGCGTATGGTTTTATCCCATATGGTACGGGCTCTCTCCACAGACAGTTAGCCTCCTGTCGAGAGCGTCACACGAAGCTCGACCTCCGTAGCTCCAGCGACGATTCCTATGGATCCCAGTAAAAATGGCATCAGTAATCCGAAGGACGCAGCCGTTAAACGAACCCACGACAAAGGGCTTGGTCACTTCGCCATGGAGACACCCGAAAAGTATGAGTAATCAATGACTGTGTGCATCTCTGTGGCATGGGAGTTAGTGAACGCGTGTCGCTTTCCCCCTGCTTAGTGTACGGGGGTTCCGTTTTTACTGCTGAGGATTTAGGGGGGGGGGGAGAGGACGGCTAAATTCTCATTGGTTTCGTAAAATGGTAGGAGAGTCGCACTGAGGAAGAGATGACGCTTCACAAGGTAATTTTCCTAGACAGCAGTCGATGCACATATCTTGTTAAGGCAGTATTCCAGGAAATTGTTTCGTTTATCACTTCACAGTAAAACCTCGCTTAACGAGCACCTCGCATAAGGAGTTATTCACATAACGAGCAAAACAAATTGTTTAAAAAAAATGACTTGCTTAACGAGCGACGTTTCGCATAACGAGTGGCGAGGAGAGGGGAAGTCCCGAATTGTGCGCATGTTTCATTAGTCTGTGTTTAGCACTCGTTCCAGTAGCATCGTAGTGTCGCCTGTGATTACACATTTTCTCAAACTTGTGTTATATTGTGATAGATGTACATGAATCCTCCAAGCCTACAAGATGACCTCTCTGAAGAATTCAAGTTCATCAAGATCCAGTTTCTGCCTCACAACACCACTCCGTTTCTCCAGCCCATGGACCAGCAAGTTTTTTTTCCAACTTTAAGAAACTCTACACTAAAGCACTCTTCGAGCATTGTTTTCATGTGACTGAAGGGACCAACCTAACTCACAAAGAGTTTTAGAGAAAAATCACGTCCACGTCGTTGCCTGCCTCGAGATGATCGACAAGGCGTGGGAAGGGGTTACCAAGAGACTCTTAACTTCTGCTTGGAAGAAGCTTTGGCCGGAGAGTGTTGTCTATTTTGTGACTTTGAGGGTTCGAGACAGTGAAACCTGTAGTCAACGAGATTATGTCTTTGGCCACTATCATGGGGCTGTAGATGGATAACAGTGATATCAAAGAGCTTGTGGAAGAGCACAGCCAAGAGCTGCGTTTTGGAGGAAAGTTTGTCAGAGGAGGAGGAGGAGGAGGTAACAGAAAAGCAACAATTTTCTGGCGAAATAAGAGAAATGCTGAAAGCATGGCAAACTGTTGCATCTTACATTGAGAAGCATCACCCTAATAAGGAAGTGGCTATGTGCGTTGCAAATTTATTTAATGATAATGCTGTGTCGCATTTTCGCCAATTTTTGAAGCTACGGCAAAAACAAATCTCTGGACATCTTTCTAGTAAAAAAAAAAATTATCTATGTATCATAATTTTTTTAACTTTTTTTTTCTGCAAATTGAATTCGCATTCCATGTGGGTTCGATACATGTTTGAAGAAAAGACAAAGATGATCCACTCTCCTTAACAAAATATATATAATTTTCTTTGAATAAACGTTATACATAGCATTTTGTGAGTATCTTTTTCGACATGGAACGCATTATCGTATTTTACATTAATTTATATGAGAAAAATTGTTTCGCTTAACAAGTGTTTCGCTTAACGAGTATGATCCTGGAACGAATTATGCTCGTTAAGCGAGGTTCCATTGCATTATGTTAGTATAAGATTATAACGGAGCCAGACTTTTTCAAAAATGACCTTGTCTCTCAGGTCGACTCAGCCTGGGATGGGTACCGGGTTCAGTGCCGGAGGGAAAGGCGCCCGGCGTGATGCTGACCACATCATCCATCAGCTCCACAGAGTGTCTTGCAGATGTTATACATGTCGTCCATTTTTGTTGTTTTAAAGTATAATCAATTTGTTTCCTGCTATTTCCATCTGGTGAAGTCCAGGTGTAGAGCCTTCTTGGGTGTTGTTTATATAGTGTGTTGGTAATACAAATATTCTTTTCTATACAGAATTCGATCAGTTTTTCCCCACTCTCGTTTCTGTCTCTCTCTGAGGCACGTAACCGTCTCCGAAACTGTTAAATACTGATCTCAGTCTTACAAGGAATGTCTCAGAGGCACTTATGGGCAATAACTTAAGATACCGCAGCGGTAGAGACAAAGATAAAGTAGAGACGGGATATTAAATACAGGGTTTAAGTTAAACCACTATTTCTGCTAGGCCTACCCAAAGGGTAGCGGTAGAGATCAAGATGAGGTAGAGGACGGCAGAATAATAATTTCATTCACTATCCCGGGCATAGCAAGCCAATTAAATCTAGTATACATACATATATATAACACACACACTATAAGATCCGTTGGTGTGAAAGAGAGATCTGTGGAAGGAGAGAAGGAGGTCAGGCCAGTAGCTAAGCCATTTAATGTCGATGATGATGGTTATCGTCTCTCTGCGGTGTTATCTTTCAGGACATATCCAGTATGAGTGTGGCCGAAGTTTCGGGTATGTTAACAATACCTAGTGCCATTGAGTAAGATCCATTCGGTCATTGGAGCTTATAATGTATGAGTATTTGTCACCATATGAACAAATTACCAATATTCACAATCAATTAAATGTGAAACATTGTAGTTGAGATTGCAGTTAAAAAAAAGAAAGAAAGAAAGAAAAGAAAGAAAGAAAGAAAGAAAAGAAAGAAAGAAGAAAGAAAGAAAGAAAGAAAGAAAAAAGAAAAGAAAGAAAGAAAGAAAAGAAAAAAGAAAGAAAGAAAGAAAGAAAGAAAGAAAGAAAGAAAGAAAGAAAGAAAGAAAGAAAGAAAGAAAGAAAGAAAGAAAGAAAGAAAGAAAGAAAGAAAGAAAGAAAGAAAATAAGCAAAAGCCTCCCAATGTCGGATCCAATTTTTCTTCTAATATAACCCAATCTATGGGTTGAACAGGGTTTCTGGGACCTGTCCTCAGGTGATCCTCATCCATGTGGTAGCACTTTGTGTTTATCGCTTGGTGTGATGTCCTGGTGGAGTTGAACATCAGTCAGTGAGACTGTAATATCGGCTGATGTATGACTGTGTGTTTGAAACACGTCACCTACAAGCAGCGAGAACATTAAAGTGATAATGATTCACATATTTAATAATTCACCTTTGTGGATGATTAAGAGTGATATGAGGAAAGGCCATATGTAACTAAGATATTTGAGGTGAGGATATTACATATATATCTCATGTAGCAAATCAAGCTCGAAGACTGTCCTGTGTTCAGTACCATTTTACCGTTAGAAATGTCATTTCCCTCGCCTCTACCCTATGTTATGTATGGAAATATGCAGTAATATCTCCGGGATTCGCCAGTGTGTTGGGAAATGAACAGTGGGACAGACTGGCTGGCTCTGCACAACTTGGCGGAATACTGATGCATGATAAGGCAGACGTAGTTACTGCCTTGTGGGAGAGCGTGTACAGTTCGGAGGAGCAGATGGATCACCACAGTCTGGTGAGACTGATGCAGCGTGGAGTGACGATCGGTTCTGGCAGATGCTCGAGGCTCAGATGAAAGGCAAGACGGACGTTAAATCAGAATGCTACTGGCACCATACGTATCAGAACTCTACACTGGCTGCTGAAGATGGAGACGGAACGCTTATGGGAATGATGTGATGTCGGTTCTTGAATCAACTCAAGTCAACTATATACCGTAATACGGTTTATTAGGACAGAGTGTCGGATAGTCTCTGTGGAACAAGTGCACACAGACTGTCCCTACATTGAATGTTTTATCTTTAATTTCAGACGGATGTCTGATTGTCAAGCCTTTTCTTGAAGGGTCGGCATCTTGTGTGTGTGGATGACTGGTGGCTGATCAAGCAGACAAAGGAAACTAGAGCATCAGCTAAGTCGCATGTCCAGCCACTCAGAAAGAAAATCTCCACGACAAAATTTGGCCAATGATTTGTTTATTTTGATGGTTGACTACCAAATCACTTCTTGCCCTTGTATCCATTACAGTATTGTTGATTAACCGAATTCCTACTTTTGGAATCTATTCCAATTCTGTCAGTGGACACAGCCAGTAGTTTAAGATAGTTTGTGTCAACTTTTACCCCAGGAGATCTATTGTCAGCAGTCACCTGAGACAACAGATCATGTCCTGCAAGACTGTCCCAAATACAACATATCATGGCAACGCTTTTGGTCTAAAGAAACATCGGTGCAAGTCAAACTTTACGGGTCGCTGAGTAAATTATACAAGACAGTGAAGTTCATACTAGAGACAACATTGCAGATAAAAATAATCTGTTTCAAGCGAACGAAAGAAGAAGAAGCCGAAGATATAAGACGAAGAGAAGCGAAGAAGAATAAGACGAAAGAAAAGAAGAAGAAAGAAAGAAGAAGAAGAGAAGAAGAAGAAGAAGAAGAAGAAGAAGAAGAAGAAGAAGAGAAAGAAGAAGAAGAAGAGAAGAAGAAGAAGAAGAAGAAGAAGAAGAAGAAGAAGAAGAAGAAGAAGAAGAAGAAGAAGAAGAAGAAGAAGAAAAGAAGAAGGAAGAGAAGAAGAAGAAGGGAAGAAGAAGAAGAAGAAGAAGAAGAAGAAGAAGAAGAAGAAGAAGAAGAAGAAGAAGAAGAAGAAGAAGAAGAAGAAGAAGAAGAAGAAGAAGAAGAAGAAGAAGAAGAAGAAGAAGAAGAAGAAGAAGAAGAAGAAGAAGAAGAAGAAGAAGAAGAAAAAGAAGAAGAAGAAGAAGAAGAAGAAGAAGTTCTCCTGTAACCAGTTAGGCTGAGAGATGTATTTCAGGAGAAGATTCTGGCTGGAGTCTTCAAAGTACACTGTTTGTGTGGAAGGTCTGTCTTTTTAAGCCTCTTT